AAACCCTGAGTTCTGTTCTTCATTTGGGTTGCTTTCTTCATTTGGGATTCATGTGAAAAGAATGTTTCCTTAGAGAAAACATTACACATTATCTAGAAACCTATATTTGGAGCACATGTTTGGAGCCTTGATCAGAAGCAGGATAATGATCTCGTTGGCAACATAATTGTGCCTTTATTTCCTGCCTTCATATCCCAAGTGTGGTTAAGCAAAGTATCAGAAAAGTCATTCTGGAGGTGACTGAAAGCATAAGGCAAAGGATTGGTGTAGATCCAATCTAAATCAGGGTATGACACTCACCCCAGAAAAATCTGTTCTATGAATCTTACTCCAAGCCCACTCAATACTGCCTCACCTCTATTATCCCAGAATGCCTTTCTCTTTCTCCCACGGCTGCAAACAAGAATTACTATCTCTCCCTGAAAGATCTGTTGAAATTCCATTTCTTTAGAAAAGTGATTTCTGGTCACCTCTTCCTTTAAACTGCCATGATGCTAATATTCTTTATTTGGATTTTGCCTACTATTTGTACCTATAATTGATTTTCAATGTCTTATCTCCTCAACTGGGTTGTAAAGGGAAGGCTGAAGCAAGATTAGTATTTCTTTTATAAAAAGTTCCCCTGATCTTTTGCATTGCACCTAGCTTGGAATATGGTTATTCATTGCCCAAGTCAGTGCTATCCTGCAGCAATGGGAAGTGAGTCACATTTTAAAAAGTACAAAGAAATAGGTGAAATTAATTCTAATCATATTTAATCTTATTTATTAAAACATTACTTCAACAAGTAATAAATGTGGATAAATCATTAATTTTTAATGTATCAAGTCATTGAATTCTAATGTGCATTTTACATTGCAATGTATCTCAATTTGGACTAGCCACATCTCAAGTGGTCAGAGGACATGTGCCTATTGGATGGCACAGGTCTAAATAGTAACTTGAAGAAAATGTATGAAGCCAAGAGAAAGAGTTTAGTTGGGTTCTATACACACTGAGAAGATAGTATATCTTTTTGAGAAGACTATGAAAATCTTTGTTGACAGAAATTTGTTAACAAAAAACAGTGAGGACAAAGATTAGGAGGGTAAATTTATAGGAATCAAGAGAAGGGTTATTTCTGTGATAAAGAGTACATAGAGGAACAATAATAGAATTTTGTGATTGGTGGTATATTTTTTAAAAGGAGAGAAAGTGGTATTTAAGGTATTAAGCCTGAGGTAGCTGAAGAATAGTAATTAAGGAGACTAGTAGGTAAGAAGGAAATAGGAGATAGTGTAAGAAACACACGAGTTTGTCTTCAACCACCAAGTTTTGGTCCAGTTTATCTCACCAGAGACACAAGTTGGAGCAAAGATGAGGAATGAACCTGGCAAAGCAGCTTCTGGAATTGATTTCATCCAGTTGGTTGAGACTTAGAAATATACAACTCAAGTGTGAAACTGATGGGTATAAGAGTGATCCAAGGATTTAATCTTTAAAAGGCTACAGTTAGCAAGCAGAACAAAAAAGTTAACAGGATGGAAGGAGGAAAACTAGGAGATCAGGGAAGATGGGGTTACGGAGAGAAGCCATTTCAAGAAAGAAAACAGAAATCAGGAGACAATTAAGGCACATGAGAACCGAGGGAGATCCATTTGACATGGCTAGGAAAAGACTTCTGGTGAATGATGATCTTTATCAAGGCTGAAAGAAAAGAGGATTTGCATTAGCTGAGCCCCTTTTTGAAAACCCAGTTTTTAGTCCTTAGCTCCACAGGCTAACTGAAGATATTTGGATTAAGAAAACTGACCTTTCCCAGCAGATACAGTCTCAGCAGGAACCCTGGCAGAAGGAAACAAGAGACCAGCACAGAGTGGGTGGAGCTCTGGGGGATTCTTGATTAATGGCCAATGTAAAGAATACCCAGCAAGAAGCTGAGTGACAGGATGCAGGAAATTTCAGAGCAATGTAGTACTGAAAACTATTGTGAAACCATTTTTTTTTTTTTTGCTTTTAGTTAAAAGAAAAGCAGAAAAATATGAATTTAAAAAATAACTTCTCATCATGAGGACTTCTTGAATTTTTCCCCCAACCGTTTGTTCACTATCTCATTGCTTACCTAAAGGGATGGGCAAATGTGGAATGCATCCAATGGAAAATTGCCTTTGAGTTTTTACACATTTTTGAAAAGGGCGTGGAGAACAGCAGTGGCCTGAAAGCCCTCCAAACTGTAGTGGCCTGAACTCTGGCCCAATCTTTTTTCTCTTTGTGGCATATTCAATTATAGCACAAAGGATCTGTAACCAGTGTCCAATCGTTTTGGAAAAAAAAAAGTGGATTTTTAGGTGGTTTTCACTGCATTCGCTCAAAGATAATAAAGTCATAAGTGAGAATCACCAACTCACTAAGTCTTGATAATTAAAATAAATCCTTCATTTGTGCATTTTAGATTTACTTTGGATTGTTTTGGCAAGTGTGGGAGGACAGGGTGTGCAATTCATTCAGCTACAAAAGTCCCTTGAAATTCCCTGCAATTTCATGAAAACCTAGGAATTCAGACATGCACAAATGTTTGTGAAATCTTCAGACGACAACTAGGATACTCTTGAAAATGACTAAGTTGGATTTTCTGTTTCATTCTTAAGGTGGAAATTTGACAGACAAAAAAGAAAGGTTGAATATCTTATTTCTGAACATTTTATTCTACTCTTTCTTATCTCTCACAATCCATCTTACAGACTTGATCTGTGGACATCCACATATATTTAAAAGTGGAGAACTAACTGAAGATGTAATGCAAGACTCAGGATAATTGGTATTTTCAAACAGAATATGGAATATACATATTAAGTTAAAGGCTAGAAATTTGTTCAAAAGAATGTATTCACTTCATCTTAGAGATGAAACAGCTTTTATTATTCACATATGGATAATGTCTTTTTGTCTCAGGAAGTACCAAAATCAGATGGCTAGATTATAAAAACTCAAATATTGTATTTTGACAAAAGTGATAGTTTCTAAATGTCAGATTTGTTTATCTCAAATCATTGTGCTTCGATCAAAGCATAGATTAAATGTAGGTTATTGAAGTAAAAATATATGGAGGAATACCAAGCTTTTAAATATAATTTTTTTAAAAACTAGGTGAAATTGCTTACTTAGGTCAGATGCCTCGCCTGAGACACTGCCTCCTAGCTGTGGGACTAAGCGCGAGAGGTTTTTGGCATTAGCATCCATATGTATCATTTCACTTCATGTCATTAAGAAAAAAATTGCATGTAGAATCTGTTTTATACCGTAAAACTAAGTTTATATAGCAACCTTTATTATATCGTATATTTTATATATGCGATATTATATATCATATGTATTTATACAATATTAGCTCTAACAGATAATCCGCTTGGAATCAGAGTTCGGTTCAGGCCTGGAATTCTTGAGTGGGATACACGGATGGCCTCACAGTGTACGTGAACTCTGAAGAAAGTAACCGAGATTTTGTGCATGCACTGTTTTCTGGAGTGATGCTCCCTCCCTTCATCCCTTAGGTTATCTTGGTGAAACGTACATCGACGTATCGCATTGCTATGCTCCTGGGACTTTGCGAGAGGTGAACAAAGAGAAGCTTACCACAATGTTAAGCAAAACGAGATAAACCTTTCTGACAACCCAAAACAGTAAGACACTGTTCAATTCATTGCCGGTGTTTCGCTTCATTTTAGATTAAAACTAACAAGAGTTTCACATTGTGGCTTCAATCTTATCAGAGACTCCTAAAATAAACAATAACATGGTATGAGAGAAATCTTGATTGTGTAACTTGTGCTTTTGCTCACTTGGAAATAACAACTGTCGTTTTCTTATAAGCCCATACTCAAATAACCATTACTATCTATTTGCATCGATCGAGTTTTCAGAATAGCAACTGCACATCAAAAACGTTTATTTCATTGGTGGAAAGTAGTACGATTTGAAAGCACGCTCACCTGGGCTACTATTTGCCCTTTATTATTATATTTCCCAATTATCAGAATGAAAAATAAATATGGACACCCCCCTCCCCCAATTCTGCTCAGTAGAAACTTCGGAAATGCCGCTGGGGTTGGGTGATTCAAAGTAAGAGACTCGCTTGTTCTGCTCCCCCTGCCCGAGCCCACCCCGGGAGCTGCAGCCTTCGCGCACGCTCGCCCCAGC